TCCTTTGAATTCTATGATTTTTATCGCGTTATACAATGATTCTTTTAATTCGGTTCACATCTTTCCTTCGACTTAACCACTGTTCACAGTTGAAAGGCTCGCGCGAGACTGATCTTGCTTGACTGACGTTTGGCAAGGCGCAAAACAGAAGTCTCGATAGTGGATATCACTGAACGTAAGAAAATTGCCAATCGGTAGATTAGCTCGCTGGGCATCATCGCTCATTGCATTTCTGTGGGCTCGAAGCGCGATAAAGAAGATGAGATTTCGTATATAATTAGATAAGGATCGATCGGGTCGTTATAATCAGCTAATTTACACTTTGGAAGCAATCGCGTTTATGGCACGCTCGCCTATTGAGAGTACAATGGACAATAAATTGCTGAAAGGAATTGTTCTAAGGGTTAAAGTAAGCCTTTTAACTGCGAAAACGTGTTTTATAAAATTAACAGAGATCCAAGTTTTTGTTCCTTGGAATGGAACAATCACGTTTTTACAAATTCATTATTTGTTCCATAATGTTAATACTTTTTAAGGGCATAAATATATGTATATTTCTATGATCACTTTATACCCCTATATTGCTTTTTCCGAAATTCACATTTTGTTGTCAAACCTTATTATTGTATTATTATTACCATTCTGTTTCCTCAGTCTCCTGTTTTCCATTATTATCTCCGCCTTCCCATTTAATTTATTTTCGTATTGAAAGTTAAATATCAAACAAAATATAGCTATATTTTATCTTCAACTTTCAATTGCTTTTTCCCTTATTCGTGATAATAATATTTTGTTGTTTATCATTTTACGGGTTTCGAAAACATTCTTACACACACACACACACACACACACAATATATATATCAAAATATTTAAATATTATTTTTTGCACACGTTTGATGATTATTCTCCTTTCAATTGTTGTTAACATGCAACGTATGTTTTAGTTTACAGAAGAAAAATTACTAACATTTATCCAGCTAATATTGCAAAGGATTATAGTAATTAAGAGATATCAAACACATGCGTGAGAAAAAGGTTTTAATTTCTTCAGGAATGGATTTACTAAGATCAGATAAAGATGATTACCCGATATCTCTCAGTCATATTTACATAAGTTACATTTATGAATAACAAATAAATAATATTTTTAGATTGCTGAGAAGTTATACGTTTGTATCATTTGTTCAAATCACGAATTAATATTAAAACTCTACTTATTATTTTTTCCCAAATATAAAGTACCTAGGCTCTTACGATTAAAGTTATATGATGAAAATAGATAAGCTAGTCGTAATAATAGCTGTATTTTTACTTCAACAAAATGACAATTAATTGCACTAACCGAAATTGCATGTTTGGTAGTTCTAATATCAAACACAAAGCAAACGCACATGCAAGCAGGTATTTGTAAGTAGCCCTAGTCTATAATATAAAATTCAGAAATACGTCGATAGATTTCTAATGAACCGAACTGTCTCGAAGAAACAAAGTTAGTAATCCTCTTAAACAGAAGCACGAGTGCCGCCATTATAGCCCAAGACTGTTTACACGATCAAACGTTCGCTTAAATGGCGTGCTCCTCCTCCGCTCCGGTGGAATCGCTGGTCGTTCCGCTCTTACCCCAGAAACGTTCCTCTGCAACGTTCCTCCTAACGAGCGTCCAAGGAAATTGTATACGAAACACGTGGTCGGTCTATCTGTGTAAAACCCGGCAGCAGAAGGAGAGAATATTCCGGGATTACGGTTGCCTTCCACAGAGAGAAAATCCGTGGTTCTTTCGCCGAGAGGAAGCTTCAGTTTGCCGTTTCTGAATCGCGTAGGTAAATGGCTGTTCTCTTTAACCGCATACACGAGGCTCTTACGATCAAAAAGGGGGGAGGGGAGACACGACGAGGGAGGAGACAAAAAAAGAAAGAAAGAGGAAGACAAGAAAAGAAGAAAGGAAGACGCAAGAAGAAAGTAAGAAGTAGAAAGACAGAGTTGTAAGCGGCCACGTCGAAGGTGGAGGGAGAAGAAGAAGGAAAGAGGAAAAGTGATAGAGGGAGGAAAGGAAGAACGAAGGAGGCTTGTCGCGAAACAGAGAGAGGATCAGAGGATCGTAGGAGTGGTGTTCTCGAGGTGGTAAGCACGACGAGGTAAAAAGGAACGACGTTGGAGCAGAGGAGGTTGGGGTGGAAAAAAGGCAGAGAGTTACTGGCGGGAAAAACGGTGTCTTGGAAAAGGTGCAAAGCCGACAGTATTCTTTGTAGCGGGGGATATTCGCCTTCTGTGCCGAAGACCTCTCGCACTTCTTTACCTTTTCCAACCCCTGCTCCACTCTCCACTACCACTAGCATCAAATCCAAGACCCACCACCTTCTTTTCTTCCTTCTTCTTGTGCACCAACCAACTTGTCCCCCTTCCACCGTTCTTTCTTTTTCTCCTCTTCTTCCTTATTCGCTTCTTCCACTTCTTCTCTTCGTCCTTCTCTCGCTTTCGACTCGATTTCTCACTTTCTTGCCTTGATCGTCTCTCCTTCGTCTTCGGTGCACAACGATTACAGCGCAACTACCGTAGCGTCGAAGCCAGTAGTCTTCCCTTCTCTGCTAGTAGTAGTAGCAGCTTACTTCTCCGCCCATGCTGGATCCCTTACTCGACAGCCTCTTGTGCCACGAGATATTTACCAACATCCAAGATGGCGGCATAATCTTGCCGGCTTTTCGTCGAAAGTCGACGAGTCATCCAACGCAGCCAGTCCCTTTTTTTTGCCCATAAACACTTTCATCGGTCTCGTTTCACTGACTCCGCCCTGGCTGCTCGCCCTGTTCATCCCCTTTCACCGTTCCTTTTCCTTTCACTCCACGTTCCTTCGTTTCTTCCTTCTTGCTCGGTGGTCTCTGACGGATCCTTCGGCCCTTTCGAGTTTCCTCCACTCGCGATTCTTTTGCGAGATCGATCATAACACGCGTCCTGCGCGTCGATTATCTCTTCCGCGCGTCTACGTAATCTTGCGAATTTTGAAAGACATTGAACGTTGATAGGCATATGGATATCCGGTGTCGTCGAGGTTTGAGGAGATCGACGTCGGTTTGAAGTTGGTTGTGATAGGTTTCAGGATCCGATGGTTGCTTTGTCAAGCACGAATATTTTGGATACTTTAGATTTCTATATTCCGATTAGACGACGTAGTAATTATTTTCCTTGGACTATAGACCATCCATAAATAATCATCGGAATAAACAATCCGATAAACAATCGTCCGAATCATAAATAATTTCGATTCCTTATGTCACACGAAATGCACAATTGTTCTACGTCATTGAAAAAACACTCGCAATAGACGTATCAAACGTAACTGCAAAACAATTGCACGACGAAGCTTCGAAGATCAAGAAGGGACAAAAACAATACACTATAAATCTATCGCCAAGAGGAATTTCTCGAGGATTGTATACAAAAAATTAGATGAAAAATCAGAGACTTAACTGGAAGAAAAAAATCTTCACGGACGATGTTGGCATTCGAAGGGTTAACCAACGAAATCATTTAACCAGGCAGCCTTTTTTCTCCTCGTACTGAGCATAGTGTATGAGTAAGAAAAGAGGCAGGAGGCAAAGCGTGCAATAAGTCGAAGGGACACCCTCGACAGATTTACCGGAAGGAGATCGAGAGGGAAGAAATCAGGAGAGGTAAATACGCGTGGCGAGAGAGTCCATGGATAAGAAGCAATCGAATCGAATAGTGGAACTCGTGGAATCCGCAATCCGTCGCGAAGTGAATGGCGAAACGCCTAAGGGTTTCTATGGTCGGGTATGCCCGCCGTCTGTTCCTCTGTCCATCGACCTAACCTAACCTACCCGGAACTTGAGATTAATGTGGTAATCGCTGAATCAGCGAAAGACACGGCAGGCGACAGTGAAAAGGAAGAGGGATCTTCCTCTTCCTTGTGACTTCCATATGTTTCTCCTTGAACGAGCAATCGAGGGAATATTGCTGGACGATAAACAAACGAGGAACACGAAGGTATATACAGTGGCTGGGAAAATTATCGGCACACCGTTTTATGTATTACGGCACGTGTTAATTAATAGATTACGGATTTTTATGGGTTTGTAGAAAATTTGTAAATGCAAAATTGCACAAAGTACACACAATATGGACAAATATATAAAATATTTAAAGTGTTATTAATATATATGTTACCTGGTAGATAAAATAATTTTCTACCGAGGTCTTAATTGTATTGTGAGAGATGCAGTCTATCAGTTAATTAGATCTAAATACAGGCATACCATACAGGTGCTAGGTGTTTACTGGAAAATTGTATATTCGAATATATCTTACGATATTCGATAAGTTTAAATTAATCAACTGGGCACAACTTTCGTTTATTGCTCATTGATGACTCATTATTTTCTGAAGTCAAACGTCATTATATTGGGTTAGTCTCCTGGCTATATATCATTCTTCGAAATCATCAAGTAACTTCATGCATAACTTCCTGTATTCAGTTTGTACTTGAAAATGGTTTTAAAGGTGAAGAAACTGTGTTAATTCTATAAGGTATGCCTGAAAATATACTACTCCTTTCTACTTATTACTCGATGCTTCATATATTCTTGCGGTTAAAACCTCTGAATATGAAGAAAGCGTTAGAAAGTACTAGGAATTCCATTCACTCGTTTTCATTAAAAACCTTTCAATTTTATCAGAGATTTAGATTTTATCAGATTTTTAGATTTAGAATTTATCAGAGATTCGTTTAATTACGTTACGTTTCGTTACGTTAATATTCGTAAATTAGAATATCATTCGCTATAAGTCACGTATGCTGGAAAATATAATTGTAAAATGCGTAGTACTATACAACACAGCGCATTCTTACCTACCATACAACGATAAAACAAGTAATATGAATGAATGAAAATCCAAGGTTACAAAATTAGAATACGATCGCTTAAGAAACTCAACCTTGCTATATTTCAAAAATTCCTTTCCCATAAAACGCGAACTTCCTTACCACACTTACCGTCAACAGCATACTCTACCGCACCTACCGCTTCACCGAAATAATCCAAGAAAACGTAGTTCCAATAACCACGATCATCCGAAGAGCATCACTCGAGAAACCATCATAAACCCCATTGTGCAAGAAGCGAGCGTAGGATATCCATGTTGCTTGATCGATGCGACTAAAAACGATCGTTGTAAATAATACGCGACTCTTAGAAGAAGCAGTAATAACAGGATAGATTTCGATACAACGGATAGGTATATACGGGTGCGTGCATCGTGCAAATAAATACTCGGCCAAGGGATGCAGAAAGGAAAGAAGGGTTGAAGCTGTGCCAGTCACGGAAGAACCTCGCTGCTACGTGGAGTAAGTGCAATAATACCAGATTATTTGCATCGCAAAGCCGTGCGTATGGGTAAACACAATATTCGCTCTCTGCTCGGCTCTGTGAACCGATAGTGCGCTCAGGTAGATACGCATCTGTCTATATCGTTCTCCATGTCTCTCTGTCTCACCCCATTTCGACTCCCTTTCACTCTCTTCGTTCCACCAATAGACTCGTCGTTCTCTCTTCTGTTCACCTTCTCTTCGGTCCCTTCCTCTCTTTCTCACCTTTATCGTGTTTCGTGTCTATCATCGTGTTCCTCTGTCTCACTTACTCGATCCTCGTCTCTGTTTCTCGTGATCTGTTTCGTGTGCCGTCTTCGTTCCTCTCTCTATGTACCACCGCGGCGTAATACAGATTCTATTTGAGCTGCCTGAGGGAAGTTAACTCGTGATGCGTGCAGCTCGGCTCGCTCTGTTGGCGATACTACGGATCCCATCGTTCTCCATTTCGAGGCTGCAAATCCAAGAACCTAGCCGGGATCTCGCGACCTGCACGGCTACTCCTATTAGGCTCGCTATCGTTCGATTTTGTTGAAACGTCGCGTCTGAAGAATTTCTTTATTTTATTTCCGATTTGTGATAGTTGGCGAGGTTTTCAGGTTTTATTGATCGAGCGAGAAATTCATAGGTTATCGTGATTTTTACGTTGTATGTGGTAGTATTGTAGTATTTATGAGGAGCTATGTGACTCGTAGATCGCGTTGTATCGCACAAAGGAATTTGCTTCTAGTACTACGTTATTATTTTAGACACTGCTTCAGTCAAAGTTTTATAGCATTGGTAACAAAGAAGTTACTGAAGTAATGTATAATACTGTTAATACTGATTTCAAATACTAATCGGGTCCTACTTTTTACAAAACTCCTGAAAAAGAATAATTTCCATTTAGATGCTAATTAGAGTTACAAATCTCACTTTGTCTCATTTACGACTGTTGTCAATACTATTTGAAACGTTATTTCAAACTAATTAACACCATATTTCCATTCTCTTCTCAGTTCTACCATCGAAATGACCCAAAGCTTTTTATAATATTGCACTAATCCTGTTTCAAATTTTACGTCGGCTATGCTTCTATATAATCTCCATCCCCCAAAACTAACTACCATTTATCTCTTAATTCCATTAATAAAATATTCCAAACCCGTACACCATCGTTCTACTGCTTCAAACATTATTTCATACTAATTCTCACGAAATCCTCTAAAAAAAAAAAGAATAACTTTTATCCTTACTTGAATTCCATCGATAAAATATTCGAAATCTCTCCGCCATTGCAACACCATACCGATGTTGCATATGTCAAGATATTTCTCATGGAACCTCTGCAAAATTCACTAAAAACAAATCCATCCGTTTCTCAATCCCACTAACGAAATATTCTCAATTGCTGATTCACATCCAAACTCTACCAATAAAATATTCCAAAAGTCGCTTCTACGCTGTCACATCAATCGAACCTTTCTCATGATTTACTTAAATCAAACCTCTACAAAATTTCAAAAAGCATTTCACCCTTCCTCGAACTCACCGACAAAATATCCAAATCCTTTACCAGACATTCACCCCATAACCCTCGTGCATAAGAACCAAAGGCAACACGTCTACACTGCGGAAGTTGCAGGTGAGCGAGAACATTTGAAAACGGGTATCGATACCTCTAGAGAGAGAAAGAGAGAGAGAGAGAGAGATGGGGGAGGGAGAATCTGTACAGGCAGGTTCTATTAGTACGTAACGCCTGGTCCTTTTGCCGTGCCGCTCAAAGCAAAGCAGCCCCCGGAGTGTTACAATTTCGCCCTCTCTCTACCCCTCCAGGTCCGCCTCGAAAGTCCCTTTATCTATCCCGCTATTTTCCTAACTCCGACGTCCCCTCCGGGGGTTTCTCCTCGTTCGTGGTGACGACAACGATTCCTCTTCTCTCCTGAAGGAGGATGTGGAGGGAGCGCGCCGGATCCGCCGGAATACCGGCCGTTGGAGGGGTGGTAGAGCCGGAGCACTACCGCCACCCCTTCATCCCCTTTTTACGAGAGGTTGAAATGCCCGCCCATTGGTCCGCCCATGTAGGACCAAAGCAGTCACTTCGAATCAATTCGACCTACGATTTCGCCTCGTAGACGGTCCTACACGGCGCTGGCACACTCGCAACCGCGCATCATAAGCTTCGACCGCATTTCGTACACCTAACCTCGTCAAACGTGATTTATCGCGTAGAAACGCTCGCTCATGGACTCTCTCGATAATCGACACCTAGTGCGGCTACTGTGTCCTCCGGCAATTGACGATTGAAATTTATTCGAACAGTTGGAAGAATCGTTGTTGTTTTCCACTTTCCTTGTGATTTATTTTCATTTTCTTTTTTCGTCGTGTCGCATTTGAACCGAGAGTGATCCTGTAACGAGAGATTGGTTACATCGAACAAGGGAGAAGTGACTTGTTGTTGGAAACTGATAGATTAGGGAGATCGTAGTATTTTAGGGAAAGTCGAAGCGTGCTCGATGAGGGGGCATGAGGGGCAATCGTGATGGTTAGCGAATATCGCAAGATCGTTAGCGATAAAGTGGAGTGCGTCACTGGCAGCCGTCATCCTTGAGATAGAGTGAGTGGGTGACACGGAGAAGAAGAGTAAAAAGAAAAATGCTCGTTATCGTTGTGGAAACAAACTATTAGCGTAAGATAACAATTCGTACGGAGCTCGTGTGTGTGACAGTTGCCTCGCGAAAACATGTCGAAAGAGAAATGCTCGCGCGATTTCGTTCAGTGCTTTTGAACATCGACGGACAACCTACATTTATACCTCGTTAAAAAATTTAAGAAGAACAAACGAAAGAATATTTCAAGAGAGCGCAGCAAGTACACATTAGCGCGTACAAATATTCACGAAAGCGATCCCTCGTCGGTGAAATAAGACAAGAACACCATGAGCACGAACAACAACGAGTATCTTCACCTATTTCCAAAGAACCAGAGAAACTAAAGTTTCCAAAAAAAAAGACAGAAAAAAATAGGCTTAAATGTGCCCATGAAGCGATCACGATGGAACCGCGTGGGATGATGATGTCGAATCTGTCGTGCGACGGCTGCGCGGACAGCGACCGCGACTCTGACAGCAGCAGCATGATCGTGGACCCGGTGAGTCTGGACAAAAACGACCTGTCACCGTCCCAATCATCGTCCAGCCCAATCATCTCGAGTTCTCCAGTCCCGCCAACCACCGCGTCCTCCAGAAACCGTGGTGGAAGTCGCAGCAAGAAGAACTACTCGATGATGTCGGCCAACAGTCAACAAAAGAACAACTCGTCCGGCCAAGCATCGTCCTATAGCAACGACAAGATGTCCTCGTCTTTGATCAAGCCACCTTATTCTTACATAGCTCTCATTACAATGGCGATTCTTCAGTCGCCACAAAAGAAACTGACATTGAGTGGAATCTGCGAGTTCATCATGTCACGGTTCCCTTATTACCACGACAAGTTCCCGGCCTGGCAAAACTCTATCAGACACAATCTGTCCCTGAACGATTGTTTCATCAAGATACCACGTGAGCCAGGAAATCCTGGAAAAGGGAATTACTGGACCCTAGACCCATTGGCCGAGGACATGTTCGACAATGGGAGCTTCTTGCGTCGCAGAAAGAGGTACAAGAGGCCTCCGCCGCATTATGTGCTCCGAGACAGGGCGATTATGGCGACCTTTGCCATTTGCGGCGATCGAGGACCTTGCCCTGGCGGCGGCGGTGGTCATCCCGGTGCTCTGACCTATCCAAGCGCCGCGTATCTGTCTCCGCCACCCGGTCTGCCTCTGCTCGACTTCTCCCCGTCGACCTTGGAAGCTCTGAAGCTTGGCGGCTTCCTGGAACCGCCTCCACCACTGTACAAACCGGTACCGATCACGGCTCCGCCGATCAGACAAATCGACCCTGCGCCAACGAGGACCACCACGATACCGAGCAGCCATCCGCCGGCTGACAAGAAGAGGAACTTCAGTATTGACGCTCTGATCGGTAAACAGGCGGCAAACGATCAGAATTGTGGCGGGC